CCAGGTCCACTTAGCAGAGTCTGTGGCCAGTTTCCCTTCACCCGTGAGGCCAGGCATCCTAGACGCTTCTAACCTACATGGCTCTGCTGCCCGAGATCCCCTCGCACCAGAATATAAATAGCCGCTCGCTTCAGAGCAGCTGACAGCGGGTGCCAGGCTGCCTGGGAGGGGGGAGCCCAGGAGAGAAGGGAGGAGGCAGGCCAGAGCTCAACCCCAGCTGTGTGACCTTGGGAGACGCACTCCTCCTTGAGCCCATTTCCAGGGAAGCAGAATGGGAGGTAAGGGTGACACCCACCCCAGAGGCTGCTGAGAATGAGTGAGGGGCCAGAGACCTAATCTTTGGCTCTGGTTACCAGTAAGGAACCCAGAACAAAGTCTCAGAAAGAGAAATGATCCTCCATGTCCTGAATGCTTTCTCCTCCAAGAAGCCCTCCCTGATGCTTACCCTGACCATTCCACCCTCCTAGGCCATATAGCTAGCACCCCTTACACTTTGAGACATTTCCCACAATGGCAGGTGTGTGACTTCTCTCGCCTCGTAGCCTGGGTTAAAAGGAACGAGGAAGGAATGGAAGAAGGACAGACCTGTTTGCACTGTTACTCCAGGTGCTCCAGGAAGGTGATGAAGGAAGAGGAGAACAGAGCCAGAGAGCTAGTTCCCTGAACTAAGCACACACTTTGTATGTGAGAGCCCTGAGTGCAGCCCCTGGCACCGCATGGTCCCCACTACTACCATGCCCCAAGCACCACAAGATTGAGAGAGCCGGAAGTAGCCCCCAGCACTGCGGAGTTTGGCTTAAAGCCATAATTCAAAAATGCATCGACATCATCATCATTTTCAGGTGAAAATAGGGAAGAACAGGACTCTTCTCCCTTCCCTGCTCATGGTGCACTTACTCTGAGCCAAAGGGCTCTGCTGACACATGCCCGAATCCACCTCCTTTCACAGTCAGAACCTTCCACACTCCACTTCTGCTGTTTCCCTGAGCCTTTCTCCTCTTTTCCATCGGCAACTCTTCCTCAAAGAAACAGTTCAGTGGCCACCTCTGTGGGGGAGAATTTGCAGTGTCTCCCCGCGAACCCTATGCTTTGTCCCCTACTGGGCAATCCCCTGGCCTCAGTTTCTTCTGTCAGATGGGTTTTTATTATCAACATTATTATAGTGGTCAGGCTGGAGCGATAGCACAGCGGGTAAGGCGTTTGCCTTGCACGCAGCCCACACCCCCGACCCGGGTTCGATTCCTCCGCTCTTCTGGAGAGCCTGGAAAGCTACCGAGAGTATCCCACCCGCACGGCAAAGCCTGGCAAGCTACCCGTGGTGTATGTGATATGCCAAAGTAACAGTAACAACAAGTCTCACAATGAAGTCGTTACTGATGTCCGCTCGAGCAAATCAATGAACAACAGGAGGACAGTGCTACAGTGCTATTATAGCGGTGGAGAGCAGGCACACACAGCGGTGCTCCTGGGCGCGTCTTGTGGTGCCTGGGATCAAACCCAAGGTCTCTGACATGCAAGGTCTGTGCCATCTCTGCAAACCTTCAACAGGGACCTTCTTGCCAACGTCACAGGTTCCTGTGAGGAGTATCTGAGATGAACTCTGAGCTACCATCTTCCTTCTTGCCTCTCCCTGACCCAAACAGCCTGGTGAAGAGTACCGAGAGTTCCCAGGCGGGGGCCAGGCTAGCTGTAGCCATTAACCCCCTTCACCTTCCCACAAGCCTGGAGGGAGGGAAGAGAAGGAGGGAGGGAGCCAGGAGGGCCCTCCAGAGACAGCCGCTGTCTCCAGGGGGGCGGTTCTCCCTGGCAGCTGCCCCCGGCCTGCCTGCACCCTGAGCCCCAGAGCCTGTTATCAGCTTCCTTAGTCATCACACCAGGAGCTCAAATATAGCTTGTTCCCACTCCTTTTTCAACCAGGGTCCGCCCCCCCCTTCCCCTAGCAAGGCCATGTCTGGGTCTCTGAGTCCCTTCCCTTCCCGCCCCTGCACTGAGCCTCAGTTTCAGCATCCACCAAATGGGAGGATCGGAGAGAAAAACGATGATGCCAGTGATAACGATGACACCAGAGCAGGTGCCCAGACTGAGAGCTTCCTCGTGCCAGTGTCTGCGCTAAGCATGGCATATGCGTTCCCTTGCTGTCTCCTCCCAGCAGCCTGCAGACAGAACCCCGGCTCTGATCTCCCTTAGACAAATTGAGGGAGACTTTCCCAAGCAGTCAGTGCCAGGGTCAGAAGCCAGGTTCCCCTGAAGGAAGGGCAGGGGTGGGAGGGGAGGGGGAGCAATGGAGCACGGAAGTTCAGTGCTTTTTGGTTTCGTTTTTTGTAGGGCCAGGGATCAAACCCAGGACCTTACAAATTCGACACATGATGCCCTTTGCCACTGAGCACAGTGGCACCATCTGGGGGGCGGGGGTCAGCTTTGTTTCACTGTACATATTTTGCATGTATGATACTCCAGGGTTGACTCTTGGCACCCACACAAAAAGCTCCCTGCAAGGTCTGAGCTCAGAGAGGAGAAACGATGGAAAATCCTGGACTGTCCCATTGGGACAGAGTTGCTCTGGGCACGCTCATTTGCATGACATTTGCCTGACTTCTAAAGGACATTGGTGCCCCTGTGGCAGCCCAGATGGCTGGGACACTAGGACTCCTGCCAAGGACCTCAATCTGTCCCTCTCCCCTTCCAGGATGGCACCAGAAGCCAGAAACTCTTGGGGGTGCCTGTTTTCTTATCTGTACAATAGGAGGCTGGAGCAGGCCCCTTTAAAGTTTCCTCCTCTCTCTGGTAGCTTGAGCAGCTCAGTCATGCCCCCTCTCATCCCCCCACCTTCACCTCCAACCCAAACTACCCCTTCTTCCATCAGTATAACAAGCCCCCCTCCCCCCCCGCACACACACACCTCTTCCGTCCCTTTTGCTGTCACCCTCATCATCACCAACACCACGCCTTCCTTTTTCGACTGCCACTATCCCAGGTCAATGTCCCTCCCTCCAGCATTGCCACTGCCTCCAGTATCCCCATTCTCCACATCACTGCCATCTCTTCCACCCTGTCCATTTGTCAGAACCGACACTGTCACTTCCACCTTTGCCGATGCCATCACATCACCTCCACCGTCTCTTCCACCCACTATCCATTTTCCACTCCCATCCTCGTCATCATGCACAGAAGCATCTCCGTCCTGTTTCACCTTCTCCATCATCTTCACCTTCTCCACTGCCATCACATGCCCACCATTGCCCAACAATCTTTCTCCCTCAGGACCCTCACAAGGCCCGGGTCCCTGCCCAGGCCAGTCCGAGCCTCACAGGGATGCAGGCCTAGAAACACAGTGGTGGGGCTGGAGCGATAGCACAGTGGATAGGGCGTTTGCCTTGCATGCAGCCAACCCATGTTCGATTCCCAGCAGCCCATATGGTCCCCCTTAGCACCACCAGGGGTAATTCCTGCATGCAAAGCCAGGAGTAACTCCTGTCTGTGCATCGCCGGGTGTGACCCAAAAAGAAAAAAAGAAAAAAGAAAAGAAACACAGCTGTTTAGAGACAGTTAAGTGTCTGTGCCAGGGGGCCCATCCAGGAGAAGTGAAGGAAGAATCGATCCCCATGACTCTCGGGAGGAAACAATTCAGGCCGGTGAGCTGCAGAAGGAACTGTTGATGAACAAAGAGCCCTGCTCCCACAGGGTGAGGCCGTGTCTAACAGTTCCAGGGGAACTGGGATTTTAGGGAGATGTCTGAGCAGATGACAGAGAGGAAGGAAGCGAAGAGCTTGCCCGCGGCCATCCCTGGCTAAATCCAAACCTTATCATTCATTCCGTTGGATCACTCATTCATCCATTCAACTCCTCTGGAGGCCTCTTGGAGATCTGGCCGTATGCCAGATCCTGGTTCCCAGGTCTGTTTTTCAGTTTGGGGGGGCTGTGCCCAGCAGTGCCAGGGGCTATTTCTCACTCTGTGCTTTGGAGTGACCCTTGGAGGTGCTTAAGATTCAAGCTGGGGGCATGGCTGCCAGGGCCACAGACGAGTCCCTTACTTCCAGTGCTCTCTCTTCACCCCTGAGGCCTGTTTTATTTATTTTTTGCTTTTTGGGTCATACCCGGCGATGCTCAGGGGTTGCTCCTGGCTCTGCACTCAGGAATTACTCCTGGTGGTGCAGGGGGGACCATATGGGATGCTGGGAATCGAACCTGGGTCAGTCGTGTGCAAGGCAAACGCCCTACCCGCTGTGCTATCGCTCTGGCCCCTCAGGCCCGTTTTTGACCCTCCTACTAATCTTCCCTCCAGGACTGGATCCTTCTCCACAGGACTCCTGCCAGAGAGCCTGATTGGCTCCTGCTGCTCTCAGGTCACTTGCGGGGGAGTCCCATTTACTCACTGAGACTCAGGTGACACTGGTCCAGGCCCCTTCCCAAGACACCACGCACACTGGGGAGAGGGAAACGGGAGGCAGCTGGCCCGGGATGGGCAGGTGTCCGTGAGAAAGGAGGGGCCAGCTGAGCTGGGCAAGGACTCGGGTGGCTGGAGCCTGAGTGTCTGGCTCTGGGATGGGAAGCAGAGAGCCAGGGCGGGGGGAGCAGGCACCAAGGCCTGAAAATGGGGCAAAGGTGGGGGCCAGGGCAGGGCCTGAGTTGGCAGGGAGTCAGCAAGGTGGCAGGAGCAGGGCTGGGACTCTGGTGTCTCGGAGGCTCTGGAGAGGACCCTGACTTCTGTACTCTCAGTCTCTACCTTTCCCTCAGGTGTGCCAGTGCCCCTCCCTTAGGCAAAGGGCTAGCCAGGCTCACCAGTGGGAGGGAGGGGACAGGTGGCCTCATCTCAGTGCCCACTGGGGCCCCGGTCAGGCTAATAGACATGCTTTCCCACCTTCCCCTGGTGGTTCCAATCCCAACAGACAACCGAAAGGGTTCTTCAAGGCCAGGTCCCCGTGCCCAGGCCACCTCGGGGTTGAGAAGTGGGTGCCTGTGCCTTTAAATTCTCAGCAGGTTGAATCGGCTGATGACATCACTGGTTCCCGGGAGCAGTGGAGGAGCTGGATCTGGAGCCTGAGGGAGCCCGGGCTGCTGCTGCCGCTGCCTGCTGGGGCTGCAGACATGGAGGGCCAGAGCGGCTCGGCCCAGAGCAGCAGGAAGCCAGGGTCCCGGGCAGGCCTGGGCTCCCTGCCTATACCCCAGGGAGTTTCCCAAACTGATGCCTCCCCCAAGGTAAGACCCCCTCCCAAACCTAGCTCCCCCATTCCCAATCCTGGTCACACACACACACTGCAGACACCCTGGTGCTCCTGGCCCAGGGGGCAGTACTCTTCCCTGCCCACCAAGCAAGGGCTTGGGTGCACAGGACCGCCAGGGGACTAGGGGAGCATCCACGGGACACCCAGAAAGGAAAGGAGTTAGCCATGTCCAGGAATGACCCCCAACCCACCCGCAGCCTTGGACTCAGTGTCAGGAGACCCAGCTGTGCTCCAGCCTTGCTGTGTGACCTTGGGCAAGTTGCTTTTCCTCTCTGAGCCAATGCAACATGAGGAGGCTTGTCCCTGAAGACTAAAACTGTGACATCTGGGATGTCTAAGTTGTTAGTGCTGGAGGCGTATGGGGGCTGAGGGTGGCTGGGGGGGGGGTGTACAGAGTGGGACACTTGGAACCAAGGAGGATGTCCAAAACGCAAGCTCCAAAAACTGAGTTTGGGGACAGAGATGGAAGCTGTGCTTCGCGTTCTCTGAACCGAGAAGGATGCGGGACGCAGCTATAACTGCATGTCTCTGGAGGCAGGGATGGGGCTACCCAAGGGCCAGTGAAGACCTTCTTTTGCCCTCCCTGGCAAAGGACACTTTATCCTGTCCTCTGGAGACAGGGGACATCAGAGACTGGGGATGGATGGGAAAGGGAGAGCGAGTTCCTGTCCTACTCCCCCTGCCGAACACAGGGGGATGCCCACTTGCTTGCTTGTCCCCACAGGTGGGGAGGAGGGTGGAGGGCAGGAGGGCACGGTTGGCACCGGGTAGTGTGGCACTAGGCTGGGCCAAGCTCTGGACTTTCTCAGAGCCACAAAATCACACTTGGGGGTGATGGCCCGTGTGCCACAGGGAGTATCGGCGAAAAACACAGGCCCAGAGATCAAGAATTTCCAGAATCGCCGTGTCCCGGAGCCCTTCTTCCAGTCCCCTTGTTTCACAGCCAGGGAAACTGAGGCTCTGGACTGAGAGACTTCCCAAGCTCCCAGAGATCTAGGCTTGGAATTGACTTAGAAGGTCACAGCCCCGTTCTCTCTCTCCTCTGTGGGCCACTAGGAATGGATACTGGAGACAGGTTGCAGGGAGGCAGGAGTTGAGGACCTTTGTCGTTTGGGATGGCTACAGTAGGCGGAAGGGCTGGGGGTCAGGAACTAACCCCGTGTTTCCTGGATACTGTGAAGGAAGGGAGGAGGCATTTATCAAGTGGGAATTGGGGTGTCTGGGGTAGGCTGATCTGGGGTGCCAGGTCAGTTGCCCTTGGCCAGGGAGCAGCAGGGACTGCAGGGGGCTGCCTTGGGGAGCTGGCTATGGTTAGGGTGAGGTGCCAGCCAGAAGGGCAAGGGGAGCCCCAGGGTTCAGGCTCACCCTCTGCCTGTGTGGAGTCAAGGCTCTGAAATTTCCCCATCTCTGAAAGAAGGGGCAGGTATGGGGTGTCCTTCGGACCCCAAGAGGAGGGGCAAGAGACTGAGGTGAGGAACGTGGAAGAAGCCCCTTGGAAAGTGACATCTTTCTTAGCTAGAAGGACTTCCCAGGGCTGGAGCTGGTAGTGGGGTGTAGCCCACCTCCTGTTTAGGATTCCCCTGAGTCTGGTTTGTCTTCTCCAAGGTGGACTCAACTTTTCAGCTCCCAGCGAAGGAGACGAAAGCCCCAGTGTCCCTGGAACCCCGGTTGGCTCTGGCTCCCGTGGGACCACGAGCCACTCTGCCCCCTTCTCCGGAGGGGACCAGGACACCTCTGACAACCCCCCGGCCCATCCTGTTGCCCCTGTCTATCCCCGGGGGTCAGAAAACTGCTCCTGCCCCCCGAAGCTCCAGCCTGGCTCCAACATCGGTGGGCCAGCTGGTGATGTCTGCCTCGGCCGGGCCAAAGCCACCCACAGCGACCTCGGGCTCAGCCCTGACTCCCAAGGCACTGGGGCAGCTGGTGATGTCGGCCTCAGCCGGCCCGAGGTCTCCCCCAGGGCCAACGGCAACATCCAGGAACCCGAAGCAGATGCCACCTGCCACCATGGGACCCAAGCCAGCACAGCCAGCTTCTGGCCTAAGCCTGGCCTTGACTCCAGAGGAACAGCCCCCAAAGTCCCCCTCCGGCTCTCCCTTAATGTCCAGTCCGGTTCTGTCCCCTTCTCAAGAACAGGCTCTGTCCGTGACTCCCATGCCATCAGTTCCAGTCTCCGTGGGACATAAACCACTGAAACAGAGAGAGGCCCTTAGACCCCTCCTTCCTTCAGAGGGTCATCTCCAGCCTCCAGAGCAGGCCTCTGGTCCTGTGGGGTCCCCACCCTTGATCCAGAGTCCCCCAGACCCCCGACTCTCCCCTTCCTTCAGAGCCCGACCTGAAGTTCCCCGCAGTTGTCCCGAGGAATCTGGCCTCCCCCGGCCACCCCAGACCCTGGCCCTGGATGGAGGTCAGGGCCCTTTAGACCCTGGCACCCGCTCCCCTGGACTTCTGTCCCCCACCTTCCGGCCAGGGGCCTCCGCATTCCAGACTGTGCCCCCACCTCTGCCTAAGCCTCCTCGGTCTCCCAGCCGCTCCCCCAGCCGCTCCCCCAACCGCTCCCCCTGTGTCCCTCTGGCCCCTGAAACGACTGTCCCCAGGCCTGGAACCCAGGGCGCAAGTCCTGCCCCAGCCCGTCTGAGCCCCAGCCTTCAGCCTCGAGAAATCCCAGTGCCTGTCACCAGCACCCCTTCTACAACTACCGCCACCGCCACCTCCTCCACTTCCTCCTCTTCCTCCGCCTCCTCCTCCTGGTCCGCTCAGCCTACCTGCAAGAATGACCCCGGCTTCTGGTGAGGCAACCCCTCCCCTCTCCCAAGAAAGAGGGCTCCCTGGTCCCCTCCTGGAGGACGTCTCCTTGGGGGCCCGCGGGGAAGACAACATCCCTCTGGAGGGACTGTCCAGCCCTGCCTCCTAGGAGCCCCCTAGGGAAAGCTTGGGAGGAGGGAGACAGCAGAATGAGGGGCCTTTGGAGGCTGGTCACCCACCCTGCCTCCGCTTGTCCCCAGTAAAAGAGCCCTGTGGGAGTGAAGTGTGAACGAGGGGACCTAAGAACCCCTCCTGGGGGGCTGGAGCGATAGCACAGCGGGTAGGGCGTTTGCCTTGATCGCCAGGGACCTGGGTTCGGTTCCCAGCATCCCATATGGTCCCCAAGCACCGCCACTTTGCACACAGTAATTCCTGAGTGCAAAGCTAGGAGTAACACCTGTACATTGTAGGGTGTGACCCAAAAAGAAAAAAAAAAACCTCCTCTCCCCCAACGTTCAGGATCACTGTGGTCACGTGGAACGTGGGCACCGCCATGCCCCCAGACGACGTCACCTCCCTCCTGCACCTGGGCTGCCACGGCGACGACACGGACACCGAGGGGGCCGACATGATCGCCATCGGGTGAGCGGAGAGGGCTGGGCACCCCGTCCCGGCACCCTCCTGCCCGCCAGGCTCGCGCCCGGGGAGGGGACTGCTAGGGCGGCCTCCAAGCCAAAGGCCCCCTCCGCTGCCCCCTCCCCCAGATTACAAGAGGTGAATTCCATGATCAACAAGCGGCTCAAGGACGCGCTCTTCACGGACCAGTGGAGCGAGCTCTTCATGGACGCGTTGGCGCCCTTCAACTTCGTGCTGGTAACGCTGCCCTCCGCGCCGCCGGGACGCGCCGAGACCCCCGCGCCCCCCCCACCCCGGATTCCGCGCCCTCGGCGCAGGGCCTCTGGGTCTCGGCCGCGGGAACTGTGATGCGGGAGGACGCAGGAGGGCGAGGGCGGGGCCGGGGGCTGACCGCCTCGCCTCCCTCCCGCCCAGGTGAGCACCGTGCGGATGCAGGGCGTCATCCTGCTGCTGTTCGCCAAGTACTACCACCTGCCCTTCCTGAGGGACGTGCAGACGGACTGCACGCGCACGGGACTGGGGGGCTACTGGGTGAGCGCGGCGCCGCCCCCCGGGAGGGGAGAGCACCCCGCAAAGGGGACTGGAGCCGAGGCCACCCCCACCCCCACCCCCGGCCCGCGTTCCTGTCCGCCCTTCACCCCTTATCGCTGAGATTTGCGTGCTCCCCAATCCGCCCTCCACCCAACCCCCCTTTCCTCGACCCCGCCCCTTCTGGCCACGCCCCTCCCAGACCCCGCCCCCTCCCGCCCCACCTGGCCGCGCCCCCGGGTCCCGCCCGTGACCCGCGCGGTCTCCCCTCAAGGGCAATAAAGGTGGCGTGAGCGTGAGACTGGCAGCTTTCGGGCACATGCTCTGCTTCCTGAACTGCCACCTGCCGGCGCACATGGACAAGGCGGAGCAGCGCAAGGACAATTTCCAGACCATCCTCAGCCTGCAGCAGTTCCCGGGACCCGGGGCTCACGGCATCCTGGATCACGAGTACGCGCGGGGCGGGCGGGGCGCGGCGAGGGCGGGAGGGCGGGAGGGGCGCCCCCCCCCGATCACCCCGCCCCGCCCCCGCCCGCCCCGCTCCCACCCCCACCGCGCTCGCGACGAGCTAGCGGCAAGGAATGATCAGGCAGGTCTTGCGGGGACAGGCGGAGGCTGTGGCGGTGGGTGTCCAAACGACGTGTAGCGCAGAAACGCTGCTAAGTTTGGTGCGGCTGAGGAGGGGGTGCCGGGCAGCGCCTTGCTGAGGGTCGGGACCCACTTTCCGCTCCATCCACGTGTGCTGGCTTCCGAGCGGTGGGCTGCAGGCTCTGCGCCCCCCACGCAGCCTCCCGCTGGGCTGTCGCTCGGACAGCCAGTGCCGTCGGATTCCTCGCGGGTGGAACAGATCTGGTCTGGGCTCTTCTATCCCATGGACCCCGCTGACCCCCTGCTCCCCGCAATAGCCTCGTGTTCTGGTTCGGGGACCTGAACTTCCGCATCGAGAGCTTCGATCTACACTTCGTCAAGCTTGCCATTGACAAAAACCAGCTCCAGCAGCTCTGGGAGAAGGACCAGGTGTGGACTTAGCCCACACCCCGAGCCCCCCAGGCACACAGCTGTTCTCCGACACACGCCTGTGTAGCCTAGCTTTCGGCCCTCGCCCTCACTTTCCCTGCCCCCAGCTATCGTCCAATTCTGCCCTTCTGGACCCTCACAGCTCAACATGGCCAAGAGCACCTGGCCCATACTCAAGGGCTTCCAGGAGGGGCCCCTCAACTTTGCACCCACCTTCAAGTTTGACGTGGGTACTAACAAATATGATACCAGGTGAGCCGAGTTCTAGGGTGAAGTGGGTTGTGAAGAGAGGTTCTGGGTAGGGGAGAGAGCGGAGAAGGGTAGGAGGCAAGACTAGGGCCTTTACCTTGACCCCTCTGCTCCTGATACTCTGCTCTGGTTGCCCACCACAGTGCCAAGAAGCGGAAGCCAGCCTGGACAGACCGTATCCTGTGGAAGGTCAAGACACCAAGTGGGGGTCCCAGCCCCTCAGGTCGAGAGAGCCACCGGCTCCTGGTGACCCAGCATAGCTACCGTAGCCACATGGAATACACAGTCAGTGACCACAAGCCTGTGGCGGCCCAGTTTGTCCTGCGGGTGAGTCTGGCCTCTCCCTCCGGTCGCAGTACCCCTAACCCCAGCCCAGCCTTCCAGTGCTCCCTCATGCCCTTCTTGGCTGCAGCCACTTGTAGCAGGATAGGACTAACACTGTGATCTCCATTCTCAGATGAGAAGACTTGGGTTCAGGGACATGGCTGGTGAAGGGAAGATTCAGGATTTGAACCTGGGCTAGTCTGGGCCTCATTTTCTTTTCCTTTTTTGGAGGAGTGGGGGGGGGCATACCCGGTGGTGTTTAGGGGTTGCTCCTGGCTCTGTGCTCAGGGATCACTCCTGGAAGGATCAGAGACCATATGGGGTGCCAGGAATCGAACGTGGCTCGGCCATGTGCGAGGCAATTACCCTACCCACCATATATCACTCCAGCCCTGGACCTCATTTTCAAAGTCCACGTCTTTCCCATTCATCTCAACTTCCTCTTGTGAGAAGGGTTTAGGGCAAGTTATTTAAAGTCACATATAAATAAGACTAGCTCACTCAGTGTTTACTCTGGCTCACAGAGCATTAGTTGTTAATGTCTATTCATTGTATACTTGCCACAGGGCGTGGACTAAAGTGTGAGGTAAAGTGGGAGAGGGGATAGAAAAAAATACCAAGCTAGAGGGGCTGGAGCAATAGCACAGTGGGTAGGGCGTTTGCCTTGCTCGTGGCCGACCCGGGTTCGATTCCCAGCATCCCATGTGGTCCCCCAAGCACCGCCAGGAGTGATTCCTGAGTGCAGAGCCAGGAGGAAACCCTGAGCATCGGCTGGGTCACGGTCACGGTCCTGACCCCCCAAAAAAAAAAACACCAAGCTAGAACCAGGATATAATTCAGAGGAAGAGTGCACATGCATGGCGTGTGGGAAACTCAAGTTGGATCCGGGTACTACAATGGGCCCTTGAGCACTGCCAGGAGTGATCCTCATCAGTCCTCCAAGTGTAGCCCCCGGTTACCATCAAAGTGGCCCCCAAACTAAAACAAAACAAATAATAAAGTTCCACTCCAGACAATAGCTATAATTGAGCATAATTATTTAGGATTAAGGTCTCTACCCAAATAAAAAAGGGGAAAAATTCCTAGAATATCACAACTGCAACCTGTGGTCCAGTTGTTTCTCTTCTTCCTCTTCTTCTTCTGGAAGTCTCACTGGAGCCTCACACATGAGGTCAGTGCTCTACCACTGAGCCATGTCCCGCTCCACATAGGGAAGTGGAGGCCAGGGTGGGGTAAGGGGTAGGCTTATGAGTCCAGTCGTACACAGGCTCCACAGGCTCCATGGCAGAGTGGGGTGGATCCCATCTTTGCAGCCCTGAAACCCAACTCTGAGCTCGCCTTTTCTTTTGATCTGATAAGAGAGAGCCCTGCCAGCTGCAGAATGCTTGCCCTGGGAACTTGGTCATGTGATCAGTCCATGGGTCATTGGTTCTGAAACTCAGCTGGGAGTGATACTTTTCTCTCTTTCTTTTCTTTTTTTCTTTTTTTGGGTCATACTCAGCAATGCACAGGGGTTACTCCTGGCTTTGCACTCAGGAATCACTCCTGGCGGTACTTGGGGAACCGTATGGGATGCTGGGAATCGAACCCGGGTTGACCACGTGGAAGGCAAATGCCCTACCCGCTGTACTATCAAATGCCCAGCCCCTGTACATTTCTTAAATGGTCCAGATTACCATTTTCTGATTTGCTCGAGCGGGCCCAGTAACGTCTCCATTGGAGACTTTGTTGTTACTGTGTCTGGCATATCAAATACTCTCTCTCGGTAGCTTGCCAGGCTCTCCGAGAGGGGCGGAGGAATCGAACTCGGGTCGGCCATGTTGGCCGCGTGTAAGGCGAACGCCCTACCCGCTGTGCTATCGCTCCGGGTAGGGCGTTTGCCTTGCATGCAGCCAACATGGCCGACCCGAGTTCGATTCCTCCGCCCCTCTCGGAGAGCCCGGCAAGCTACCGAGAGTATTCGATATGCCAGACACAGTAACAACAAAGTCTCCAACGGAGACGTTACTGGGCCCGCTCGAGCAAATCGATGATCAACGGGAGGGCCTTTACCTTTACCTTTACCTTTACCTTTACCTTTACCATTTTCTGATAGTCCCAGCCTTTTGGGACCTTTGGTAAAAGCCTTAGGTGTATGGTCTAACCTTCCTTGAAGACCTTCCTTTCCTTGAGAGCCATCTTTTTCAGTGCCCTGCTCTGACTCTTGTCTCTTTTGTTTGTTTTGGGGTTACACTTGGCAGTTCTCAGAACTACTCCTGCTCAGGGCTTGGGGATCATTCCTGGCAGGGCTTGGGGGACCATATGTGGTGCTGGGGATTGAACTAGGTCAGCTGTGTGCAAGGCAAGTGCCCTTTTCACTGTGCTCTCTCTCCACCCAGGACTCTTGTCTCTTACACAGTGTTCCCTGATGGGGACACCTGCTACCTGCCAGATATGCTAGAGGCCACTTCGAGTGTCTTCGAAGGCCCTGAGCTGTTTAAATTCTCCTCTCAGCTCTAATGGCAGGGGAAAAGGAACTCCAGAGAGCTGAAGTCTCTCACCAAGGCCTCACAGCCAGCTGGGGTCAGAGCGGAGTGGGTGGGTGGGGTATTATCTCTCCTGCCAGGTCTGAGAGGGTATGTCCCAGTGCCCAGTGGACAGACCTGCCATGGGGAGCCCAGGGCCAGGGAGAGGGTAGGCTGATGTCTCCTGAAGCAGTGTGGCACAGACTCAGGACCAAGGGAAACCTGACACCAAAATAAACAGGGAGCAGCCGAAGCCCCAGGCTGCCACTACTTTCGTTATTAGGGGAGACCTGGCCACCTGCCATCTCAGCACATACACCATGGGGTAACCCCCTCTTTGGCCTGGACTGACCCTGGCGGGGGGTGCTCATCACCATCATTTGTCTCCGTGAACTTGGGATGAAGTCCTAGTTAGTGGCCCCGTTTGTGGACGCGGTAACTGAGTCTGGGGGTGGCTGGGGCTTTACCAGAGTTTCCACAGCAAGTTCGTGGCTGAGCCTGGGAACAAACTGAGGCCTCCAGCCTCCTGTCCCGCACTTTCCTTGCTGGACAGGGTTCCTCCATGATAGCCAGTGTCTCCTTAATGAGCAGGTAGACAAGTCATTCGTGGACAACCTACCATCTACTGGGAAGTTCATGAGATGCTTCTTGAATCTGCAGAACTGCTCCAAGAGTTAAACAAGTTAAACAAGATCATCGACTTGGTGGGAGCACGAGGCTTAAGGCACTAGCCTTGTACATGACCAGTCTTAGTTGGACTCCTGGCACCACATCTGGTTCCCTGAGCCCCACCGGGAATGATCCCTGAGCCCAGAGTCAGGAGAAAGTTCTTGAACAATGTTGTGACCCCGATCTCAAACATTATTGAGCTCAGAGATAAGATCCCTAGCATTCAGAGAGGTCAAGACATTCACGCAGGGTCACACAGCCCAACTTGGGCTTTGCCAGGGTCCCCTTATGGCTTGCTAATTCCAAGCTGTATGCTCACTCCTTCCCTAAGGAATCAGTGGACAGAAAGTGCCAGTACTGCCTGGGATTTATTTATTTTTTGCTTTGTGGGCCCACCTGGCAATGCTCAGGGGTTACTCCTGGCTCTGCACTAGGGAATTACTTCTGGCGGTGCTCAGGGGACCATATGGGATACCAGGGATCGAACTCGGGCCAGCCGTGTGCAAGGCAAACACCCTACCCACTGTACTATCGCTCCAATCTGGCATTTATCCCTGACCTGCTCTGCCTCAGTTTCTTAGTTTGTGAAATGACTTCAAAGACCCTTGATCCCAACTGAAATGTGCTGACACTACCGCCAGGGTCCTGAGGGCAGGGGCTGCTGGAACATGTCCCTGGGTATCCCCCTCCCCTGCAGTTTGCCTTCAGGGATGATGTGCCATTGGTGCGGCTGGAGGTGGCAGACGAGTGGGTGCGGCCCGAGCAGGCTGTGGTGAGGTACCGCATGGAAACTGTGTTCGCCCGCAGCTCCTGGGACTGGATCGGCTTGTACCGGGTGAGAAGGGCAGGGCTGGGCTGGGCTGTAACTTGGAGGAGGGGCAGAGGTGCCCCGGTGGGGTCACTGGCCTCTGCAGATGTTGATGCTGCCCAGGTCAGGTGATGGTTGGTCACTTGCCTCATTCCTCTTGCCCCAGGTGGGTTTCCGCCACTGCAAGGACTATGTGGCTTATGTCTGGGCCAAACACGAGGACGTGGATGGGAGTGTTTACCAGGTACTGATGGGAAGCGGAGCACGGCAGGAGTCTTTCTAGGGCCGGGGGGCAGGGGGGAGGTGGTCCTGGGGTGATCTGCTCCTCCCATCTCAAACTGGGCTGTTCCCTGGGCCCACCAGGTGACGTTCAGTGAGGAGTCTTTGCCCAAGGGCCATGGAGACTTCATCCTGGGCTATTACAGTCACACGCACAGCATACTCATCGGGGTCACCGAACCGTTCCAGGTGTGTGAGTTGGGCTCCGGGATGGGGGTGACGAAAGACTGTTCAAATGCCACATCTCCGTCGGCACTCGGCCCTGTGACCTGACTCCTTGGGCCTGCCCCCAGGGAGGGTTGGAGCCAATCTGAGAGGCTTCAAAAGGTCTGGAGAGATAATACAGGGGTTAAGGGACTTGTGTTGGGACTGGAGCGATAGCCCAGTGGGTAGGGTGTTTGCCTTGCACGCGGCCAATCTGGGTTCGATTCCCTGGTATCCCATATGGTCCCCAAAGCACCGCCAGGAGTAATTCCTGAGTGCAGAGCCAGGAGTAACCCCTGAGCATCACTGAATGTGACCCAAAAAGCAAAAAAAAAGTGGGGGAGGGCTTATCTTGTGCATGGCCGACCCCAGTTCAATCCCCACTCTTGAGCACTGCCGGGAGGGATCACTGAATTTAGAGCAGAAGTAAAGCCTGAGCACTGCCGGGTGAAAAGAAAACACACCAACTCTCCTCCCCCCTGCCAAAGAAACCAAGAGGTCTTCAAGGCAGGCCCCCAAGTGACCAACCTCTCCCGTGCTCCAGATCTCGCTGCCAACCTCGGAGTCGGCCAGCAGCAGCACGGACAGCTCCAGGGCCAGCTCGGATGAAGAGGACGACAGCACCCTGGAGCTGCTCGCACCCAAGTCCCGCAGCCCGAGCCCTGGCAAGTCCAAGCGGCACCGGAGCCGCAGCCCGGGCCTGGCCCGCTTCCCCAGCCTGGCCCTGCGACCCTCATCCCGAGAACGCCGGGGGGCCAGCCGCAGCCCCTCGCCCCAGAACCGCCGCCTGCCTCGGGTGGCCCCCAGCAGAAGCAACGAAGGCAGCAGCCAGGGCAGTGGGGAAGAGGCGTCCGCTGGCCTCCCCGGGCCTTGGGCCTTCCAGCCGTCTGTGCCTCGAAACCTGCGCTTGCTGCCTGCCTTTCGCCTGGAGATGGCGGCTCCTGGCGGCAGCAGCTCCTGGGAGTCTGATCCGGAAACGCCAGCCCCCAACAGCCTCTCGCCCAGCCCCCAGGGCCGACAGGGGCTGGAGGAAGGGGGCCTGGGGCCCTGAGGGTAGCCGGGCAGGTGGACCCCGGTGGCCCCCATCTGCCCCCATCTTCTGCAAACCCTCCTGCCTCCCACCTGCTGTTGCTCCAGCTTTATCTGCACCTGCCACTCTGTCCTGGTCAGGGGTAGCCAACTGGGCTCCCCATCTCACACACACACACACACACGGTCCTGGCATTCCACTGTGAAAATCAGCAAAGCCCTATGTGGGTCCCTCAACCCCCATCTGGGATGGGGGAGGGGCAGTCCTGGAAGGCACTGATGAGGAATTAAGTTCTCTCGCCACGAGTTAGCCACCTGGGGGAGGAGGTGGATGGAGGAAGAGACCGAAGAGGCAGGAAGTCGACAGATGTGACAATTATCAGGCACTAGCTGTACACATTTCACATGCTATCTCCTTTAATCTGTACTGCCACCTTGAGTGGCGGTGTCGGGAGCAGTGCAGTCCTTAGACCCATTTCACAGGTGAGCAAACTGAGGCCTCTCACAACAAACCCATCGGCACAGTTTGGCCATGATAATGAGGCATTGAGCGTTGCGCGTGAACCGGTCTGCTAAGTCCTCCACACCCTTAAGAGGTAGGTTCTGCTTATCCTCCCCTTGGTCAGAGGAGGAGACTAAGGCTCAGGGTGACTGAGGGAGGGCCCTTGTTCAAGGGCGTGGGGGAGGTTTGAATTTAGGTTTCAGGCAGAAAAGCGTGAGCCCCCGGTCAGGGCAGGAAGGGCACAGCGACTGTTAAGAATTAGGGGTGCCTGGGGAGGAGGGGAGTTGGCAAGCGTCAACTTTCTAGTGTCCCCGTTCTGGATTCAGACACAGGCGCTTCTGGGATAACCCTCACCCCCCACCTGCTGGCTCAGGCCTCAGCGGGCAGGCGCCGCAGCATCCCTGAGCAGACGTGTTCATTTTGCAATAAAGACATATGTGTCCCTCCTCCTGGTACTTCTGGGGCTGTTACAGTATCTTACCCCCCCCCTCCAGCCCCCCATTCCCATCTGGACACCCTGTTCCCTGACAAGGCCCATCAAGAACGAGCTTCCGGAAAACTTCATCAGTGCACAAAGCAGAGGGGACGGTCCAGCACAGCAGGAGACGTGGTCCAGCATTCGGGCCCTGGCCCTCCAGTTCCCCACTGTCCAGACTGCCCACCAGTAGACGTGCTACGGTACAGTTTTCCACGAAGCAAAAGCTGAGACCTGTGGGGCCTGGTAAGGCCAGGGCCAACGTCTAGTCTTGGTTTCCAGAAGGCTGGAACTGCAGTCCCTGATTCCAGGACTCCTGCTGCCCAGCGGGTCTCTGAGTAGCCTGACTCAGCCTCAAGCAGCGCCCATAGAAAGATCGAGTGGCCCCAGGGTACTGTGAAGGCTCCGCTGGCCCTTCATCTGTGCCCGGATCTTGGAGTTGGACTCGACTGAGCCAAAGTCGCTTCAAGTGCCGGGCTGACACTCACGGCCCTGAGGTCTCGGGAGCAACTGTGGGGAGAGTAATGTTGGTGGTTGGTTGCAGTTTTCAAGATTCCACTCTGCTCTGCAGATTGGGGGGGAACTGAGGTCCCCAGGTGGCGGGACTGAAGCCGGGTAGGGATGGGTGAAACCTAGAACCAGTCAGAATAAAACTCAGCTGGCACCAGAGTCCTGCGTGCTGCCTCTCGCTAGCTGCAAAAACCTGGGCCAGAGGCTGTGGAGATGGCTCTAAGGGTTGAGCGGAGGCTTTGCATGAGGGAGGCGCAGGTTCGATCCCTGGCACCGCCAGGTTCCCCTGAGCACTGCCAGTTGTGGTACAAAAAGAAACAAAAAAATCTTGGGCCTGCCTGGGTCTCAGTTTCCACATCTGTGAAGTGGGCCCGGCAGTAAAGGGTTGCCCTTGAGCATCCTGCATGCAGAGTAAGAGGGAAGTAGGGGGTTATTATGTGTCTGGCAGGCCTCAGGTTACGTGCATCACCCTCAAGTCTCCTTAGCTTCTCTGGTCATGTTATGAAGGAGGAAATGGAAGTGCAGAGATGACTCGACTCACACAGGAAATAAACGACAGTCAAGATTCAGCCCATGACTGCAGTGATAGTTCGGGGGATAAGGCACTTGCCTTACGTGTAGCCATCCCAAGCCCATCCCTGATCCTGCATGGTCCCCAGAGCACTGCCAGAGGTGACCCCTGATCTCAGAGTCAGGAGTAGCCCCTGAACATGGGGGTGACCCCCCAAATAAAGGATGCAGCCCAAATGAATCTACGATAGAGCTGAATTCAGGGGGTGGGGGCATGACTCAAGGGTCTCACCCATTCCCCCACCGTTCTCAACTGGGGTAATGGACCCCCCGCCCCGGCTCTGCCATCACTCACCCATTGCCCTCAGCACAGTTGGGTGCGGGGGTCAGTTTGAAGCAGGTTGTGCCCAGCGGTTCCCAGAGCACGTGTGCCCCTGAGGGTGGGCTGTGGGGCCTTAGGAATCGTGCCAGCCTGTGAGTGGAGGTGAGCTCAGGCTGCGCCAGGCCTTGCCCACCAGGGCCCCTTCTCTGAGGGGGGCCTCCCGCAGCCCACCCCGGAGGTGCCATTAGGCCTCACTGGTGTGTGCAGTTGCAGTGAAAAAGGGGCTCTGGGGCACGGTTGAGCAGCTGGAATTTGGTCTCCCAGGGCGCGATCTGGGCATCACACTCGTCCAGGTGGCGGAAGCCACGGCAGGCCTGGTGGGCACCTGTGGGCAGGGAGGGTGATGGGGGGAGACCCCCTCCACGCTCACTGCCTCTAGGAGGGTCACTGGGGCATCTGCTTGTCCCACACACACCAACTCTCTTGGCTCTTGCTCCCTGTGATCTGGGAGAGCTACGTAGGTATGAGTGCGGTCATGTGATCTCTCCCTCTTTTTCCTCTCCTCTCGCTCTCTAACACTCACATACTCACTCACTCACACATACACACATGCACACATATACACACACACATGGACACACCCACGGACACACATACACACATGCACACACATTCACACATATATACACATGCACATATACACACATGCACAGACACACACACATCCAGGTTACTACCAGGTGCCCACAGTGCCAAGTGGGGTTGGCAAAGGCTTCCTGGAGGCAGAGGCAGCTAAGCTGAGGCCTGGAAAGGGCAGGACAGAGGGTGCTCCAGGCCCAGGGAGCAGCCGGTGCAAAGGCCCAGAGGCAGGAGAGCAACTGCTCTGAGGCCCCCACACTTGATAAAACCTGAGCACCAGCTTCAGGGGAAGGTGTGCAGACCAGGGGATGCAGGGGGCCGTCATCTGAGGTGAGAGGAGCCACAGTAGGACCACCTGGGCGGGACGGTCATTTTTGGGGGTCTACAAACACTCTCGAATGCCCCATCTCCACTCCCCTGGCTATTATGTGACTGGCTAGAAGGGTTGGGAGAGCCCGAGAGGGTTGGGGAGCAGGGCAGGAAGTTAGCAGTGCCCCCCTACCCAGTGCAGAGACAAGACCCCAAACCAAGAACTCTCAAGGTCATGTTCTGAGCTCACCCTGAGGTTTGAAGCCGGTCTGCAGCCCCTGGAGGGCGGCATGAGTGAGCTCTGCCCGGGCTGGGGGTACAGGGAGGGCCCTGCGGGCCGTGGTGTCAGGTCTGCCGTGGTGCTTGGAGCCTTTCTGCTCCAGTGGCTGCTTCTGTGGAGGCTTAGTGAGGACTGAACTCTGGGGGCTGGGAGCCTCAGGGGGCGCCCGGAAGGTCCAGGATGCATTGTAGCGGGTCCGAGGCTGGAGGCGGGCGAGGGGAATGGAGCCATACCTTCGACACCTGGAAGTGACAGTTGTGGCAAGTGGGAATCCAGAACATCGCCCCTCCCCCCCCCAAAATAAAAACAAAACCCCAGTTCATCTCCAGGGAGTCCAAGACTCTACCAATCCCACCCCTTATCCTCTGGGTGGTGTGGGTACCCAAGCGAGGGTCTGGCTCTGGACTCCACCCTGAGTAGAAGACATGGGGACACTTGGCATCCCCCACCCCCCGGGGCCGGCCCACCCTTTCCGGGGAGACCACATACCCGCCCCACCAGTACCACGCCACGCAGGCCTCCTGCTCCTGCAGCACGAAGCACGGGATCCCCAGCACGTTGAAGAAGGCCACGCCCACGACGTCCGAGGCGGAGTCCCGCTGGTCGCGCAGACACTGTTGGAACCTGCCCCGCGAGGCCCACGCTGAGATCCCCAAGGGCGCCTTCCTCTGCCCACCCGGGCGCTAGCAGCGGAGGGGTTTGGGGGTCTAAGAAGCCCGCCGCTGCCCCCTTCAGGCCTCAGCTTTCCCACCCATTCACCGGGGTCCCCCCTGGCCCCTCTCTCAGGGTCTCTGCAATCTGGTCTCCGCACCCAGCAACTGGGTCACTGCACAGCCCGTCCCACCCACCCCGCCAACCTGGCGTCACAGTCGCAGTGGGAGACGGTGTGGAACCGGTAGTTTCGGATGCCATAGTTGTACTGGAAGGGAGATATGGTCTGTGGGCAGCGGTCGTGTTCCCGGCAGCAGAGATCGGGGCCCTGGAAGACCCCTACAGGGAGGAGAGTAGGGAGTGGGGTGGGGCACCCAGCTCAGTCGGGGCCTGGACACCACACATCAGTTATGCCTGTGGGGGTTGGGGGGACACTCCCAGTATCCAAGTTTGAAGACAGCACCCAGGCGGCATTCTAAGTGCTGGGAACACCCCTGGAGTCCTTGGAAATGCTTGCTTTCTTTCTTTCTTTCTTTCTTTCTTTCTTTCTTTCTTTCTTTCTTTCTTTCTCCTTTCTTTCTTTCCTTCATTCCCTTCCTTCCTTTTTTCCCCTCCCTCCCTCCCTCCCTCCTTTCCTCCCTCCCTCCCTTCCTTCCTTCCTTCCTTCCTTCCTTCCTTCCTCCCTCCCTCCCTCCCTCCCTCCCTCCTTTCCTTCCTTCCTTCCTTCCTTCCTTCCTTTTCTTCCTTTATACCTTTTCTTCCTTTCTACCATCCTTCCTTTCCCTCCCTCCCTCCCTCCTTCCCTCCCTTCCTTCCTTCCTCCCTCCCTCCCTTTCTTCCTTCCTTCCTTCCTTCCTTCCTTCCTACCTTCCTCCTTCCCTCTCCCCTCCCCTCCCCTCCCTTCCCCTCCCCTCCCCTCTCCCTCCCTCCTTCCTTCCTTCCTTCCTTCCTTCCTTCCTTCCTTTCTTCCTTCCTTCCTACCTTCCTCCTTCCCTCTCCCCTCCCCTCCCCTCCCCTCCCTTCCCCTCCCCTCTCCCTCCCTCCTTCCTTCCTTCCTTCCTTCCTTCCTTCCTACCTTCCTACCTTCCTCCTTCCCTCTCCCCTCCCCTCCCCTCCCCTCCCCTCCCCTCCCCTCTCCCTCCCTCCTTCCTTCCTTCCTTCCTTCCTTCCCTCCTTCCCTCCCTCCCTCCTTCCTTCCTTCCTTCCCTCCTTCCCTCCCTCCCTCCTTCCTTCCTTCCTTCCTACCTTCCTCCTTCCCTCTCCCCTCCCCTCCCCTCCCTTCCCCTCCCCTCCCTTCCCCTCCCCTCCCCTCTCCCTCCCTCCTTCCTTCCTTCCTTCTTTCCTTCCTTCCTTCCTTTCTTCCTTCCTTCCTTCCCTCTTTCTTTACTTCCTCCTTCCTTCCTTCCTTCCTTCCTTCTTTTCTTTCTCTCTTTCTCTCTTTCCTTTCCACACTCCCAGCTACTCCCAGCTCTGCATTCAAAGGGCAACACTCTCAACAGTGCTCAGGGACCACGTGGTGCCAGGAATCAAACCAGGGTCGGCTTCATGCAAAACAAGCTCCTGAAGCCCTGGGCTATTTCCACCTCAGACAGGTCTTTCTGGGGGAACTGGAGGCAGACTCCAGACTTCCCAAGCCCACAGCTCTGGAAAACACTCAAGTTATGGATGTGTGTGGAAAGGGCTGGCAAACTGGCAGGGAGCAAGATTTCTCATTAGCAGGCTGAGGTGTTGCCAGGATGCCAGGCTGCTCCCGTTCAGGTGCCAAGTCCTCCCTCTCCCCCTCCAGGCAGATGCCAGCCAGCCGCAGAAAGCACAACCTTCCTCGGTGGCTTCCACCTTGCGATCAAGCGTGTGACCCTCCCCACACCCCGCAGCCAGGGAGGGAGGGAGTGTCGCTTCGCACACAGCACAGCCGGGACAGAGGCGCTGAGAGGGGATGCCACTCCTTCACTCGGATGTGCCTAACCTTTGCATCTTGGCATGCACCCCACCTTACACTGTGCTCCCACAAAGGGACTACTGGAGGACAATAGCTTTTTGCTTTGGCTGATCTGGAGTACCACCCCCACCCCACCATCCTGAATCCCAGTGATAAGTAATGAGGATGCAGGACCTTCTCCCATCCCTGACTCATTTAAGCATCTAGTGACGAGATGCCTGGTACTCCCCCATTTTACAGATGAGAAAACTGAGCTTGTGAGTGGTGGAGCTAACTCGATCAAGGGTATAGACCTGGGGATCAGAGCAAAAGGCTGCACTTTCCCCCTCCTCCGTCAACCGTCCAGCCCCCCAGCTCACTCACCCCTAGCTCACCCAGCTCTGAGGAGTTCCCAGCAGAGTCCCCTACTCCGCACCACAGCGTGCCAGGCACGGTCCAGCCTCTCTTCGGCCGCTGGTGCCCGGCTCCCTGGGCTCCGCTCCGCCCTGCTTCTCTCTTCTCTCTGGCCCCAGCCAACCTCTCTTCATGCCCTTGGCAGGTCTCCCACTGAGTCTGGACAGTGGTCAGCACCCGCTGCAGCTTGGGCCCCGGGGTGTGGATGAAAGAGTCCCGGGTGATCTCAGCAGCACACAAGGCTCCGAAGGCTGCGGTGAGCGCCGGGTCGTCCTGCCGGCCACAGGCCCGCAGCCTCCCGTGCGTATCCCAGCGGGCATGGAAGAGTGCCAGTCTCCGGGCATCTTTACCCAGGAAGCTCAAGGACCCCAGAGGATTCCCAGGGATGGGCCTGGCCAAGTGGCAGGAAGTGCTGTTCCAAGGCGGGGCAGTGGAGCCCCCCAGAGCCATCCCCAGGCAGCTCAGCACCACCAGAAGCCCCATCCTGTCTCGGCCCAGCCCAGACAAACCGCCCACAGAATGCCCACTCCTGGTGGCCCACAGGCAGCCAATGGCTCAGCAGCTACCCGGAAGTGATGCCCAGGAGACCCAAAGCAGCCAGCAGGGCCAATGAATGGAGCTTTGGGAGGAGTAGAAAAGAGGCTGGAGTATGGGGCGATCTCGGGCTTGTAACTGAATCCACCGGCTGGGCAGGCCTCTGATTGGCCAAGGGCAGCTCTGGCTGGGGCCCACGCCCCCATTCCCGGCCTTTCTCTAAGCCATCCAGTGACCTGCACTCGCCCAGCCTGGAGGGCCCCGTGGGAGCCCTAGTTCTACTCAGACCGGGGTCAGGAGAGGGTCTGCATCTTCCTGGGCAGGGAGCAGGGCCTCGGGGTCTCAGAAGAGGTTCCCAGAACTCAGCCTCCTGCTCTCCCTCCACCCACTGGTAGCTGCCACACCCCCCTCCCTGAGGCTGCCAAGAGGCCCTGGATCTCTGCCAGAGCTGGGTGAAGGCAAGGCTGGGGCTCATTGCCTGGCCCCCTGGGAACTCTCAAGACTTTAAGGACAGAAAACTTTCCTCCTCTTACCACTGAGGAGCTCTTTCCCATCCCGATTCTAAGTGTCTGAGGAAGACAGCATTCCCAGGGGCTCCCACGTTCCAGGTCTTGAGAGCAGCAAGGGGCAGCGCTGATGAGGACTTGGAGGAACCCCAGTTCCCACAGGAGCTGAGGCCAGGCTGGCCACTGGCTGCAGTCACACCTGCGACAGCCAGAGACAGCAGTGTTTGGGCCTGGCATGGGGTTCAGGGACTGAGCTCTGGCCTATACGGGAGCTCCATGTTTGATCCTTAGCCCTGACTGCTTCCTTGAGCACTGTTCCTGGAATAGCCACCGAGCACTGCCACGTGTGATCCCCAAAGCCAAAAAGAAACAAATGAGGGGCTGGAGCAGTAGTACAGTCGATAAGTTGTTTGCTTTGCATATGGCTGATCCAGGTTTGTCCCCGGCACCCCATATGGTCTCTCAATCCCCACCAAGAATGATTCCTGAACTAGGAGTAAGTCCTGAGCACTGCTGAGCTTGACTCCAAAACAAAAACAAACAACAACCAGAAAGGGGAAAAGAAATGAAGGAAAGGACCATGGGGGTTGCCATGCCCCGCACTGATCCTGTGTCCTGAAGCCAATGCATTATTCAGCTTTCAACCATCCGGGGAAGTCCAGTGCTTATACCCATAGTACAGATGAAGAAACTGAGGCTTCCTAAGGCTCCAGAAGCCTCAGAGGACCGTCAGTCCTCAGTTGGGAAGGGGTTAAAGATGACAAGTGCAGTTCTTGGGGTCTTTGCTAAGAAGTCACACTGGATGGCAGACTGGTCTGTCTGTCCATCTCCCTGGTCCCCGCTGTTCCCCCAATTTCTGAGTTTCATTCAAGAGGATGCACCCAAAGGAGTCAAAGTTAGGGCAAAACTGAGGAAGCAAAGCCGGCAGCGCAGAGGAAGGGTAAGGGACTTCAGAGCATGCACCCAATCTCTGTGACCAGAATAAGTCTAGTCCCCGGCCCAACAGGTCACTGCTAGGGGATAAGGAGCAAGTAAAGGGGTCAGAGCAATAGTACCGTGGGTGGGGCACTTGCCTTGCATGGGGCCAACCCGGGTTCCACCCCCGGTATCCCAGATGGTCCCCTGAGCCTACCACGAGGAATTTCTGAGTGCAGAGCCAGGAGTAACCCCTGACCATCACTAGGTATGACCCCAAAACAAAAACGAAAGAGGAAAAAGAAGAGGGGGGAGGCCCGGGACGCCATCCAACCAAACACCTCTCCAGAGGTAGGAAAGATGTTGGAAAGTCAAGTGAGTGGTGGCAGAAATGACAGGAAGGGATTTAGGGTTCCCAAAGGCAGGGGCACACCTGTACCAAGGTGTCTGGAAAATTCTGTGCCAGAAAAACCTTGTTCCAGAAACATTGTCACTAGTAGGAGCAGCCATGTCCCTCGGACCCCTTTTCCGTATCATTGACCCTTTTTCCATCACCTCCTCGCCACATGCCGTAAGCAAGGGTGGGTGGTCCCAGGGCAGGAACCCACATTTCAAAGCCAGACAGCTGTCGCTAGGGTCCTGACTGGTTTGTTGCCCCTCCGACAGCTGTCACTAGGATCCTGGCTGGTTCAAGCCCCAGACATCTGTCACTTGGGTCCTGACTGGTTCTAGCCCCACAGACATTATAGTCTCAACTGAGCCTCAGTTTGGTATGATGGTTACAGCACTGCAGTCACCTCGCAGATGTTGGGTAAGACTCTTGGCGCCTTGCCTGGCATCCTGAACTCCCCATGCCCCGGGATACCCCTGGGCCGGAGACAACCCATCTGAAGCTTGTGGGCCTCTGTAGAGCTGGTCAGGACATGTCTGCCCCTGGCTGTGTGAGTTCTGGCTTCTCCCTGCCTTCTCTAGGCTGCAATTGTAGCGAGGGGACAATAATTCTGACCTTTGAGGTCTCTTTCTGTCTGGGCCCCACGGGGAGGCCACTCAGGACCTATCCAGGTCTCAAGGGAGGATGTCACTGCGTTTTTCCTTCCCTTGTCACCCAGCAGCCAAGAGGATGGTTCCTGGCCCAGCCTACCACCAATGAGCCCTTCAAAGACTTCTCAAGGGGACAGGTGGGCTGGGCCTGGCAGAAACTCTCCTCTGGGGGCCCACACCTCAGGGACAGGACAGGGTGCATAGTGCCAGGGGCCAGTGGGCAGGGTCCCTGGGTGGACGTCCCAGGCAGATGTCCCTCCTTTCTCTGCCTATCAGCACCTGTCTTATCTCCGCCCATCTCCTGCCTTTCGCTCAGTCTCCTCCGGCTCCTCCCTTTCCATCTCTGACTCTCTCTTGCTCCATCTCATTTTCTCTCTTCATTTCTTTGCTATTGTTGGCATTTTTTTTTAATCCTTGGACTTGGAGCATCCTCCACCCAGAGCCTCCAAATTCCAGTAGGCAGGGGTCACACCCACCAACTGGCCCCCTGGCACCGTGTAATCCTATCAACAGCCAAGACTCAGAGACTATAAAACCCAGCTCCTGGAAGCATTTGTGGCTGCGTGACATCTTATTATCTCATCCTAATTTGGACAAACTGGCAGGCTACCGAATGTAACCTGCCCACACGGCAGAGTCTGGCAAACTCCCGGTGGCATACCCAATATGCCAAACACCAGTAACAATGATGGGTCTCATTCTCCTAACCCTGAAAGAGCCTTGAATATGGCACTTTTTTTAAAAAAAATCTCAGGGCTAGGATGAAGGAGATGTTACTGGGGCTTGCTTGAGGCAATCGACGAACAACAGGACGGTCGTGATCGTGATCGTGGACTGGTCCAGGGACACTCAAGTGAGCTGTAAAATGTCAGGGGCGAGTGTTCGCACAGCATGGCCGGTTTGCCACGCGGGGCCCCGTGATTTCACCCACCTCCAGCCCCACCCAGGGGCCCGGCGTGGCCCAGTGGCAGAGCACCCGTGTGGCACGCGTGAGGCCCCGAGTTCATTCCCAGCCCCACAAATAAAATAAAGCCACAGCCACACCGCAGCGGCCACCACACCTTGCAGAGCTTCCTGATCCATGAGCTGTTTGTTAACCACTCAGTTTAGCACCAGTGACAATCCTTCTTTTTTTGCCCTCTGAGCAGCTGAGGAGATCTCAGCAGGGGTTGAAAGGAACCAGCTCAGCCTTGGCACCATGCCCAAGGCGGCCCATTGGGGCCTCCAGGGTTCCGGCGCTCGCACCTTCTGCAGGAGAGGATGCACAGGGTGCCCTCAGTTCCAGGATGCAAAGTCTCTCCTCTCGTCCCCGTCTTTCTTTTCCGTCCTGCTCTCCAGTTTCCTCACTGTCCCCTCCCTCTGTTTCTCTCTTCTTCCTACTGTTTCTGTCTTTTACTCTGCCCTTATTTCTCAGTACTCTCTCCCTACTCTCTTTCATATTTCTTGCTCCTTTTTTTCAGCATGTGGGTGGACACACCTGGATGTGCTCCGGGCTTACTCCTGGCTCTGTATTCAGGAACCACTCCTGGTGGGTTCAGGGGACCATTATGGGATGTTGGGGATCAAACCTGGGTCAGCTGAGTGCAAGGAAAGCACCCTACTCTCTGTATTATTCCCCCCAGCACCTGTTTTTCTGGTTCTTTGTGTCTTGCTTTCTTTCCCTACCTCTCTCATTCCTTCTTTTCACTTTTTTCCTCAATTCTTGCTTTTCTTTTTTCTTTTTGGGTCACACCCAGCAGTTCTCAGGGATTACTCCTGTTTCTGCACTCAGGAATTACTCCTGGTGGTGCTCGGGGGACCATACGGGATGCTAGGGATCAAACCTGCGTCGGCCACATGCAAGGCAAACACCTTACCCGCTGTATTATAGCTCCTTTGCCTTCCTCCTTTATAGTTCTTCACTTTCTTTAATTCTTGTGAGGGTGGGTTCTCAGGAGCCCCAGGGACCTCACCTGACAATTCTTGGTCCACTGAGTTTGGGGGCTCAACACTCAGGTCTGAGGATGCAATACTTACTCAGGTGTGTGATATCAAAGATTACTTGGGGTGCTGGGGACCTTCAGGAGAATCCTCTGTGGTGATCAGAACCTCTGGTTCTGGGATGAATCAGGGTTGGCTGCATGCAAGGCAAGTGTCTTTTTTTTTTTCTTTTTGGGTCACACCCAGCGATGCACAGGCGTTACTCCTGGCTCATGCACTTAGGAATTATTCCTGGCAATGCTCGGGGGACCCCATGGGATGCTGGGAATCGAACCTGGGTTGGCCATGTGCAAGGCAAACGCCCTACCAGCTGTTCTATCGCTTAAGCCCCGATGCAAGTGTCTTAACCTGTGTCCTACCTCTCTGACCTCCCTTCTTTATATTTCTATTTTCACTTCCTCCTTTCTCTGTCCCTTCCTGTTCCAGGGCTCAGGTAGCTCATCCTTTCACATTCCCATTCTCGCAGCCATGACCTTATCCCTGAGCTCATCCGGACTCTCCATCCCTGCCATTCCCAGGGGAGACAGGCCAGGTCAGACTTCCCCTGGCCTGTGGGGAGAGTCTCCCCTGGCCCTCTGCCTAGAAGGTGCCTCTTCCTCCTCACAGCTGCTTCCTCTCCCCACCCCCACCCCCACCGCGCACCCCAATCCCAAGGGCTCTGCAGTTCTCTGTGTCCAGAG